TGGTGCTTGATGCTAATCTAATATTCATCATAAAGGTAGATAGATAAATCCATACATAATAGAACTTGAGACACAAGTTTAATGATTCACTCATCTCTTACTAATTAGGCATTGAGCAAGGATGAGTTTATTCGACCAATAAATTCTAACTATATAATTTGTGATACTTCGTAACTGCGTTTTAGTGTCACATATGTGCAACAGCTTAGGAGTCCCACACTAGGATGAAACGGCCGTTCAGTGCTTCCAGGTTTTCCATAGTGGTCTAGCTTCAACTGACTCGTGAATTCAACAATTCAGTTATTATAATATCCACAAAACCCCTCTCTGAATATATATACATATCAAAATTCACCGAATTGTTGTGTTTATTCCGAAATTGATTTTGGTTTAACACTACACTATATTGATTTGGAACAAGTTTAATTGGAATTATTTGTTGTTGTTTTTTCTTAGATGCAATTATTACGCAAAATCAAAAAAAAATTAGGCACGTCACATTTCTACATAAACACACATCGAAAAGCAATAACAAATAGGTATATGTGCAAATGCATTAGTATCATGTGTCGATCAAACATGAAGGTCATTATCATTGGAATATGCATGGAATATGGACGATTCTAGTATATTATAATAGTGAATAAAATAACTCTTAATACGATATAATAATCATGTACCGATTAGTATGTATTAAGGGGTATGAACAACGCCAACTATGTGAGAACTAAGGGTTCCATTATGATATTCAAACTTTAGTGAATGAAACACGGTTCAAATCTATGATCATAAATTAGGTGCTTAAACAAATGAACAACAATTTCATCCGTATTATCCACTATCCTACTAATTTGGGATTAAATTACAATTCGACAGTTATGTGGCCACGGTCAGAACACTAGTGTATATTACCTTGATAGTGAGGATTATCACTGTATAAAGTACTTTACTATTCAAAGAAGCTCAGAACCTCAAATTTTTAATTGTTTAATACAACAAGAGTGAAATAATTCTTATTTTTCTGCTACACAATAACCAAGAAACTAAATGATTGATAAATAAGTATCCAATAAATGGTATTTACAAAAAGTACTCTAAGATGGTGACATTTGGCCAAAGTTTATAGATCCAACAAAATGATGAACACTGTTTAATAACCAAAAATAAGAAAATTGGGAGCTTAGTTATTGAGTCAATTGTTTTCTGACCACCAAGGTTACAGCATCGAACATCAATTAGTCTACTCTGGTTCAAACGGTCGGATAAGCTTTGAAAATTATTTACGTTCTCAAGTCATTGACAAACAAATAGAATTCACTTGAACTAGAATCCTAACTCGACAGTTAAACGGCTTAGTAACATGTATTTTGATCAAACACATCGAGCATAGTCACAACACCCTACAATTCCAATGTAACTCGAAGACATGTTTATGAATATTGGATTGTAAATGCAGATTAACTTTACTACCTAATGGTCAACGAGGTTATCGTCAAAAACACTAGATGTGAACTTCCATAATCATTTGTGTAAAAAAAGATCATATGTACCTAGATTTTGAAAAAATCCATTATTAATCGATTTTAATAAATTAGTAATATATTCTGAAAGATGTTATAGCGTATATCTTGGTGTTCTGATAAACGGAAAACTTGCTAAGAATATATAACCAATACTGATCATTTGTGACTTACTAATAACATTGAGACTAATCTATTTTCTATATATTGTATGAACTGTTCAACATAGTTTAATAGCTCAATATAGAATTTAGGTTACAACTGGACAATGATAATATTAATTGTAGATTAATCACAGTTGAGATAATAGTGGGAACTAGGGAGCACTGAATAGCTGTTTCGTATTAGTATGGGACTCCTCAGTAGTGTCTACTGATGATCCCGTCAGGAATCTAACCAAAGTCTTACAGGTTTCATGGTGAAAGTCTAACTGTTATAACCACTGAGTTTGTTTCTAGTGGTATACATTTCTAACGAATTAATTTGAAATATAGTTCCACGACCAACGAATACTATTGGGGGAGACTGTTTCATTCTACCTATGTCTGAATTCTGCTAATTACGAATTCCCACTATGGCTTTAGGAAATCACATCGAAGTCACCACTGACTTGACTATTGTACTTGAAATTAAATGAGTAATAATATTTATTAAACATAGTTCTGTCATTGATACATGTGAGTCGTAAAACTGTTAAAGTAACCTGTACACAACAAAAGAATTTCAGCTTTTCGTAGCTAACGTTGTAAATGAACCTTCGAAATAGACAACTCCAACAATCCTACATCAAAGGCTATAAGCCTCTAAAAAAAAGCAACGAAATGAAAAATAAAAATGCCAGTCATGAAACAGCAAATACAACTACTAAGAAAAATAGTGGTAAAAATCTCTCAGACGCCCCCCACCACCAAGAAATATGTTTCAGGATTACAAACTAAGCGCAAAGACATTCTTAAAAGATTCTCAACTTTAGTTCAGAAAATATTCACGGTTGTTCATGCGATTTTACAAGACTAGTACTTAAAAAACGTTTCAGTTCTAGAAAATCACTTATTATTCATTCTATAAGGATTTATTTATCAAGTATGACTTATTCAAGTTAGAGAACAACAAACAGTACATTTAGGGAAGTCATAACAGTTAGAAGTAAGATTTTAGGACAGATTCCTTCAATGGTACAAATTATTTTAGATTTAATAAAAAAACTGGGGCTAGATCTTGAATTGAACTTGCTAACAATCCAGTATCACTGAAACATTGACTCAGTCAATTTTTGAATCCACTTAGAAATTACGTCTTGGGAGACAAATAGAACTACCTTTTTTGAGGATCTATTCAAATGTTAAGAAAGTTGAACTGCGTAAACATTTAGTTCAATGACAAGGTTAATTCAAGATAAATAGAATGGTTGTCTAGTGCGCACAACACATTAATTTTAATTATAGATGTTTCTTACTCAGGTATGAGCCATCTCTAATTGTGAGGGCTAATGATAGTGCCTGATCCCCCAAACCGAAGTAGGCCAAGTGGGTTTCGAACCCGGGACTTGGTGACTGAAAGTTGGAGGCCATAATCACTAACCCACAGACGTAATTGGTTAGAAAGTAACCGATGCCTTTACTTGTTTGTAATATGATATTTAGCTTCCTTGTTTTATTGCAAATAAAGCCCGGTAGTTTAATACTACAAAGGTAATCTAGGTACGGTCAGTTACCGTTCTTTTTTTAAAACAACTCAAGTGTTAAATTTTCCCAAATATAACCGCCAGATATACTAATGAAAATGGTTACTCATAAACTGTTTTTCATGTATGTACTCAACATCATTTTATGACTACTAAGTCTTAAACCCACTGTCAACTTTTCTGAACTGTTATCGTCTACGAATCGGGTCAAGTATCAACTTCGATGAATACAGACTGCAGATATTGAAATTTGTCTTATGGACTGTTAGTAGTATGTTTATATATGCGACTATTTAGTAAAAACCTTTAACATATATGCGATAACTGTTCATTAAAAAATGAACACAGAAAAACTCAGGTAAAAAGGAATAGGTATTCTTATCTTCACACATCAATGTTACATGAATGAAGAGACTACATAGGATGTAAGTGCTGTGGTTATAACTTATTTTACTGAAATGACAAGAATAAAATTTCCTACAACGAAATCTAACCATGAACTTGTCAAACAGTCTACAATGACGAAATCTACTTCTAATCATCACTTAATCTAGACTCAATATTATGTGAGAAAATTAATACTTCTGGAATGTTGATGTGGTATAGTTTTATGATATAGAAAAGGGGTAAATTACGTTGGGGTTATATGTATATATATACTCAAAATTTTTGTTTGTGTAGAAAAACAGAAGGGGCTTGGTGGATATCATAGTAATTTTAATAGTTGAGATCATGAGTTAATTGAAGCTAGACCACCATGGAAAACCTGGAAGCACTGAACAGCCGTTCCATCCAATTATGGGATCCCTCGGCAATGAGCATCCACGGGATTCGGACCTAGGACCTATAGGTCTCGCGCACGAACGCTTAACCTCTAGACCAATGGGCCGGCATCATATCAACTAGTGAGACTGGAAAAGTTTGAAACACATTATCTGAAAAGTAATCCAGGACACAAAATTAAACAGAATTCCTTTAGTTTTAAAAACTGCATTTAAACAATTTTGAATATTGTTAAGACTAAATGAAACAACTTTAAACTCGTAAGTTGAACTAATTAAGGAATCTTTCAATAATAAATCATCCCAAACCATACCTTGGAAAAACTACCCAATGATTTTGAACAACGTACGGAAATTCAGCAACAAAGTACTATGAAAAAATTATCCAGAGAAATAATAGTAAACTCCTATTCCAAATCAAATAACCAGTGAAATATAGCACCACTCAACGGATACCATACAGCATTAGGATAGATAATTGAATTGTTTCTAAATGAAAACTTTACAGAAAGCGAATTTGAATGATTGCATCAGGTTTTGAATAGTATTAAGAGTGTAAACTAACAAAGACTCAATGCGTTTAGTGGAAAATGAAGTGATGAAAAATCACTGGGACCCTGTAATCATGTTCGTATAAAAGTGCCATGACATATAGCAATGGGACGGATTTAAGGACCAAAAAAAGAAACCACAAACAGGAATTATCACTCGTATTTTCATAGTGATCATCACACTTTCACGACAAAAAATTCCGTAAGACAAGGTTTTCTGACAATTTGTAAAGCCTTTTAACATAAACCAGAAGACCAAGTTCGAACCTAAACATTTAAAACTATGCTTTACAATGGTTAGTTTGGTAGTTTCTGCAATACAGTTTGAATAAAAGCTACCAACTTTAAGGTCATAAATATAGGGAGAATTTACGAATTAGATGCGTGGTCCTCCAACTAATAGATTAGTCAATACACTAGAATAAACAGGTATATCAAGCATCAGAAATTTAACGAAACTTACTATAATAGGGAACATTCCTTATCCTTCTAAGATCCGTGTGGTTCTGAGATAGTAATTGGGAAGTATCTGACGAGGAGGAAGAAGAGAAAGATGAAGACACAGTAGACGCTGGAGAACTAGAGTGTGAATCATCTACCGGGTTATTTTCATCTCGTGGTTGGTCGAAATCTAGACACCATGACTGAGGACGTTGAGAAGGTTGACAATGACTGAAAATTTGTTCTTCATACAATTTTAAACTATCTGTCATTGCAAATCCCTTAGGTCGAGATATTGCACGTGTGCTAGGTATTTGTATCCGGAAATAATTTTGGCTATTAGTTCCAGAAAAACTAGAACGGATATTTTTCAGTTGATCTGAAGTATTAGATCCTGAAATTTTATTCCCAGTAGGTGGAATATTCTGGTGTACAGGTGAGTTGTTATTTCTTGGGTTTCGAGAGTTTAGCAGAGTCCTCAAATCATCATTCCGTCCTTGGGTATTGAAGTCAGTAGTGCTATTAATCATGGTAGGCTTTGCTAATCGAGCCTGTGGGACACAATTAGTTTTTATATCTTCGATCCCCATAGACTGAGCATTGGGCATCGCTTTGACGTAATGATCACAGGATGAATGGAAAAGCCTCTGGGACGGATTAGGGGATAAGACGTTCGTTAAAACACTTCGATATCGAAGCTTAGCACGTTCAGGATTTTGGTCAATTAAGCTGAAACGCCTAGCCCCATTAGACAGTAAGTTTTCATAAGAACTACAGGAATGTAATGGCTCCGGAGGATTTCGAACACTGATAACGTTGGTGGGATTCTTAGGAGGTAAGTTGCTCACTACTCTTGTTGAATTTGCAGCGGAAATACGCACTACAGCAACACCACTTTTTTTAACACTGATGTCTGAATGAGGTAGTGGTGGTCGGTCGTTTAAAGCAACATTTTTATTGTGTAAACTTGTTATTGTAGTCTGTCCACTAGTTGATTTTGGATAAAATGAATAAGAACTGTCATTATTCCCGTTCAATAATAAAGCAGCATTACCGTTAACGGAAATGGAAATTGAATGTGAATTTGAGACAGGACAACGTACAATAGGCTTTGTAGTTATAGACAAACATGGTAGGGCAGAAAAATTAAGACTAGAATTGTCAGTCTGACTAGTAGAGAGAGAAACTGAACTGCTATCGACCGGTATGCCAAGGTCGTATAATCCTGGCTCTCCAATACGGCCTAATGGCGAGACTGAATTTAAATTAAATGAGTCATCTCTTAACAACTTTCTGTCTGGTGTTTCATTGGAAGCTGAGTTAGTTGCGCCAATCACTATTGAAATACCATTAGCATGTGGGGTGAGAGCTGTATGGCGAATTGATTTTTCGTATTGGTTGTTTACTATCTGTAAATTATTTGTACGCGTCACATTTATGTCTGTTTCGAGTCCATTTGTAGGGGTGTGTTTTATATTTTGTTGATATATGCTAATCCTGTCGTATGAATTTGTAATGGGACTTGGAGATTTTCTTTGTATCACTAAGCTGTGTCGACGTTGCACACAGTTTATTTGAGATGCTGTATTGTCCTTGCAATCGGATTCAATCTTTCGTGGCGGAGACACAGATCCGTATCGAAAATATGACAAATTAATCTTTCCTTGTGGTGACTGAGACCTTTGGATTCGAACTCGTGATCTACCACATACACTGACACTTATATTCTTCTGCCTTAAACTAGGGTTGTTCATTTTAACCGTTCGACTGATAAATGTGATTATGTGACTTCTAGTGACATGGATACACCGTTTCATAGGATCATGAGAGTGGTAATAATAAATGAGTTGCTTTTGGAAACATACTGATTAGTATTGTGTAAATGATTTAAATTCATGATGCAATAAGCCACCTACGTACTGCTTTCAGTTCACAGTTCTTTCAAGGTCGTTTAGATATCCACCCACTGTTGGTAATTACTATTTGGTTCAATATCTCGCCAATCGAGAATCGATTAGGCAAATCCGTTTTATTGATACAGTGACATGACAGGAATACTTGTCTGTCATTGTGCAGTTGAGATTTTATAGGTAAGAGAATAACGGAACGTCAATCTCCACATGAATGCGGAATTAAATATTGAACGTATTGGTTGTATAGAATTTAGAAGGCACAAAACTAGATCTGTCCTACCATATCAGTCTTTTTATAAACTGACCTGTAATCATTTTATTTAATTAATATGGGTAGGGATGGCTGAATTTTAGAATTAAGGCACAATGATTATCTGAATTCAAACCTAAATAAAAATTAGAAATTATATTTTATAAAATAACTATTTTTATTCAGTAAGTTTCATCTTGAATTTTAGGAAATGGGAATTTTTAAACATGCGCACAGTATTCACATATGACGATAACAGATTGATCAATTGCAGTCTTAAACCTCAATGGGAAGATACAAGGCAAATAATACCAAGTGAATTGAAATTCACCCCATTGCACAAGCAAGTGGCTATCAGGACTCAGTAGGTAAGTGGATAACTCGATGGCGTTTGAAGCGAATGGTACTGGGTTCGAGTCCCAGAGTGAACATCAACTCTAAGATGCAGGTACATCCAGCTGACGAGTCCCAAGCAGTACGAAACGAGCATCCTGGATTCCACTACTAGCCACTATCCATCATTGCTTACATTCTAAGTTTAGTTTAATATTATTTCAAACTCGATGCATTTGTCTACGAAATGATACCGGTCAAGAAATTTCACTTTACGGTAGAAAATTTAAAACGTTTATTGGGTTACAGTAATCTCTTTTTTTTTTCATTTAATGTTTTAAAAAAAATAATGGGTGGACAGTGTAACTGTCTTACTTTGATTGATGACATCGGGTGGGTTATGAGACATTGTGTATTGGTCTGAAGATAATTATGTTCCTATGATATTTTCTAGTTCGAGATCTGATCTCAGGAAATTAAAATCTCTTGAAGTAAATAAAGTGGTTTTCTAGTGAAATATAGTAGGAATTATTGTAACAATAAATAGCCTAAGATCTTTCATGCAGTTGGTTCCCTTTATGAATTTAAATAGAGCAAGAACAAACATTGATGCAGAATAGTATGAATTCATAATATTTCGAGGTTTCTCGTCAGCTGATTACATTGAGATAGTGTGAAAACAACTGACATAGATGAGTGTAAATAACTGGGTTACAATAATAATTATATATATATATATATATATATATATATATATATATATATATATATATATATATATATATATATATATATATATATAATATATAAAGGAATTAATTCACCCACCCTGAATTAATTCAGGGTCAATTGTTTCACACTATCTCAATGGGAAAAATTCTATCACATTTTTGGTTTGTAATCAGCTGACGAGAAACCTCGAAATATTATGAATTCATACTATTCTGCATCAATGTTTGCTGTTGCTCTATTTAAATCTAAGATTTGTCTAACTCAAGAATTATCATCGATTAATCAATAGTGTTAATTAGTTTACTATTTTTGATGTTAGATTTTTGTTCTTAGCGATTTACAACTTTATTCTTTTTTTTCATATTTACTTTTCTGATTGTATCAACTGACACATTGAATAAGGACTTGAAGTTGATAAATTAACAAAAGACATTGAGTCCCAGTCTATGGAGTAAGTCACAAAGATAACTAAGGAAAGATCAAACAAGAAACATATCCAACTTCTCAAAAGCCTCGAAAATTAACCGGTTGAAAATGAATTTTCTGATTGTATTGAAATTTGAACAGTGTTAACTGTTGTCGACGATTATCGGATATTTAAGCTCATTATATTCATTGTTTATGGTTATTAAGTAAATGTTTCACACATAATCTAGTTCATCTACTTTTTAGATTTGCATTTCATTGAAATGAGAATCAACTGTTACTTTCTAATCAATACAATCTTTACTTGAAAACAGTGACATACTCACAGACTGAATATACCTATCATGAGTGATAACTGCCATTATATTTGTGAAAAATCGTTTAAATAAAATGATTAACATGAATATTTTGTGTAGTTCAAGGTAATTTTCATTATGAACTAAAGTAATTTGAAGAACTAATGACTATGAAAATATTCTACACTCATCTGGACATCTTTAGACTATTAATTCAGAATCTAATGGTCTAAATTTTCAATTTCAATCAGTTCCTGATATTACATGATTCATACCCAATGTATTTGATGTAACAGCTACTTCACTTTTGATATAATGAACTTCATGAGTGACATATTCCCACTAGAGATTTGAAAAAGACAACTAAAGGAGAATCGATGAACCTTGCTCTCTTTAAAACTAGTTGTCATTGTTGGATGTTGATAATAACGACTATGTACTAGAGTTTCCGGTTGGCCGATAATCCTGAAGAATTAAACAATGATTGGTCCATTCTAATGAGAACTGTTCTATTGCGGCTAAATAACCGTAGCTGACAAATAATACTTCAACAACTAGCCTCTAACACAGGAAGAAGACGAAGTGTAAAGAAAGTTGGCATTCAATCAGAACAACTTAAAACGGTACAACTCACTACATATATAGTAACAAAAGCATGAGCCTCAAGATTATTAAAATATTAGCTGACTACAAGTTGGGGCAACCAGGTGGAAAAGCGACAAAGGTAATGTGAGAATTTCAATTTTAAAAAACACTTAGGGTTACCGTTTCTAGTAGGATATTAGCATTACTAATAAAAAATTAAGTAATCCAGTGATCGTCTTAGAAGTTAATTCGTGACCATAACTTTCCTCCGACTGTTACGTCAATTATCAATAAAAGAGATTTTTAAAATACTGATTAAGACTATTTTGTTTTAACGATTTAACCCATTGGTTGTTTGGGTAGAAATTTACTTCAATATGGCTCCTAAAAGACCGAGTATCCTTTAGCATATTTTTTCCCAAACCAACAAGAAGAGTGCTCCAACACATTTTGCTCAAAATCATTTTCAATTACTTCTTACAAGTAACAAATTCTAACGCTAGATAATGATAGAAATTAACAGTAACAAGATTTATATTATTGAAGTGTTCAACAAACTTATTTAATTTTTTCTACTCTCAAATTCTTTTACACGTTCTACTTTAAAAAATATTTTACTGAAACTAACCTTTCAACCGAAAATTAACATTACTTAGTAGAAGTAAAAACCATTTCCTCTCTAAATCACAAAAAACATGCAATCCACCGTGACCGGTGGAGCTAATCCGTGTAGAGTGTGAGGCAGTTACCCACCGAAGACAGTGGAGGATGATCGTCAAGAATCGTGATTTGGTTGAAGTTAGAAATTAACACTGTTGGATGTCGGCTCAGTGGTTTAGAGGTTGAGCATTCGCGTGTGAGACCGAAGGTTTTGGGTTCCAGTCCCATATGCGGGATCGTGGGTGCGCACTGTTGAGGAGTCTCATGTTAAGACGAAAAGGCCGTTCATTGCTTCAAGGTCTTCATTGGTGGTCTTACATCGATCGACTCATGATCTTAATAATCATCTGAAACTTGAATTTGATAATAATTAATCAACCTGTGACAAATATACATACAGAATGCTAACCAAACATTTATTAATAATGGTTTCTTTCAGATCTGATTTTAAAAATCGGAAATACAATGATAACTTTCTAATAATGCACAATTAGAAATAAATTGTAATAAAAAACAATCCAGGAAATCTATTCATTGGCATTATCAACTTGAAAATTAACCAGTTTTCACTAATTATTGGTCTCCTGGAGTGTGAAGTAATATTTTTATGTATTAATACATATAGTATACCGAAAAGCTGACTATAGTTACACAAACTAAGTAATTGAAACATACATCACAGTTTACATTAAAATAACGGCATTCATTGTAAATATTAGTAAGTGAAATCAAATTCAACCCAAAAATCTTTGAACTGTGATTTTATCTTTTTTACGATTTCATTCTGTATGTATCTAAAGTTATATGTAGGTTTATTTTACATGATAGATATAAGGGACAGTTAAAGAAAAAAAATTGGTTACAGTGGCTCTGAAAATATCATACTAACTGAAGTAGAGAAACTTTAGTGTTGGATTACCACCTAATGTCTCAATGATAACGTCATTGTATTACATGAAAAAAAGTCTATATATTCGAGAATTCAACTCAGGACCTTTAGTCTTGCACGTGAACGCTTATGTTTAGACCACTGAGTCGGTATTCAAATCTTCAATGGTGGCCTAAATTAGTTTGGTTCATGATTTCAACAAAATTCAACAATCTCCACAATCCCTTACTGACGATCATCATGTGCTCACTAGTGACTAGTTTCAATAGAAACTCTCTGAAGTACTAGTGAGAAACTGTAACTAATGGAGCTAATCCATATCGGATGTGAGGATGTTACCCTCTAAAGACAACAGAAAATACTAGCGCAATGTTGCGGACTGATTTACTTCCGCGTGTAGGGTTGTGAATGTGCACTGCTGAAAAGTCCCATACTAGGATAAAATAGTCGTTCAGCGCTTTTGAACTAGATCCGTTTATGATATCAATGAAATTTATTGTATGTTTAACTTGTCTCCACATGCTTTACAATACAAAGAATATCTTCGTTACTACTTTTGTATCCATTATGAATCAAATGTTCATTCTTATTTCAGGATATCGTAACTTTTCTAAGTACTTGTTATTCTACGGAAAGAAAATTCAAAGATGACGGATTGTTTGACCAATGG